CCACACCCTTTCTTGCTGCAAAACATTCCGCTATATGAGGGGAAAAACATCCATCCATGGCTGCCAAAATAATTCCTTCCTTGTCCCTAATCACCACTCCAATGCCTATTGCATTCAACGATCGTTGCACACTTGCATCAACGTTTATCTTGACCACATCAGCCACCAGAGGACGGCAATTATTAGCTGCTAAAGCCGGCACTTTTGCAGCCCGAGAATCCACCGAAAAAACGCTCAAATAATCACTAAGCACCTGCCCTTCTCGATTAATCGAATCTATTGGAGCCACAGCCTTACTAGCAAACACCCTTCCATTTCGATCAAGCCATAAACTCCAAGTAATCATATAAAAGATATCCAATTCCTCTTCCTTAGCCTGACTAGCCAAATGTAAACATAAAGCAACAAACGGCCTAGAAGACAAATAACTTACCAGAGTCTCAATAGCCGAGTTCATCCATACTTCCAATGCAGCAGGACAGTACCAAAGAGCATGACATGTGGTTTCCATCTCTTTTCCACATCTCGGGCAACTACTTGAGCACTTCACTAAATGAGCCCTGGCTGGAAGACTTTCATGAAAAGCTTGCCAAAGGTGAATTTTTACCTTAATAGGAATCCGAAGATTCCATAGACGAGACTACCATTTATGATCCACACCCCGCTCTGAGCTACTGGAAACATCCCGACATTCTATCTCCACTTTATATCCTGACCGGACGGAATAATTCCCTTTGTCATCAAAGTACCACCCCTCCGAGCAAGCTTCTTTAGATTCGAATGAGTTTCACCCTTAGATGAAGCCTCTGGTTCATGAACTGTCGAACCCGCAGAGAAAATGAAGTTGCCCCCCAGCACGTTAGACTCAATAGAGCCCTGTACAAAAGATGACCCATGCAAAACCGACGTACTAGATTGCTCACATGAGTCAACACGTGATCTTTTAAGTCCCTCATTCTCATTTTAAGGTCTGTTTAGTTCGCTGATTTGAGTTTTTAATTCGAGTTGAGATGTGATTTTATATAAAAGCTTTTTACTGTAATAAAAAAGTTATATATGACTATTTTTAAAAGCTTTTTACTGTAAAAAAATTTAAATTTTAAACTCAAATCGATAAAATGAACAAATCTAATTACTAGATCCACGTCAGCAACATCACCTTTAGCATGCTTTTGTTCACGTGATGTCTTTGACTTATCCGAAGAAAGCAAAACTTCCTTACCTCTCCTGCCAACTGCCTCTGCTAATTTAGGATCACGTCCATCCAATCCCCCACGTTGAGGAGCAGAAATGGCAACTTCAAAATTTGAATTCTCATCCGGGATTTCTTTCCCCAATTTCCGCGTCAACCCGATCAGCGCAACCGTAGGCCGCGGCCGCAAACTACTCATCACGGAGAAGATCCGATTGCCGACGCTGCCACGATCCCGACAAGCCTCCACGTCTCCCAGACAGATCTCCACGAGCCCCCGCAAAAACTCCTTGCCGATCACCTCCCAATCCCCGATTCCTTACCGTTCTTATATGGGATGAATTCCAGACCAAACAAGAAAGGGCCATAGGGAAAACGCTTGGGGGCAATAATTGTCTCAGCCTTCTCATCATGACAATCATACTAACAGTGCCCAATTATTCCACACACATAACAGAAATCCGGCACCCGTTCATACTTCAGATCAGTTAACACCGGTTTTTACCTTATCCAAGTCGAACCGGAACACCTCGAACAAGTGGCTTCCACACATCAATGAGAACACAAAAGCCTCGTTTACTTCGTGAATTTAAATTTTCAATTCGAGCTGAGATGTGTCATTTTCTGAGAGTTTTTTACTGTAGCAGAAAAAGTTAAATGTGACATTTTTTGAGAGCTTTTTACTGTAAAAATCTAAAACTGAAAACTCAAATCGGTGAAATGAACGAGGTAAAAATCTCATATACTTGCCAATTCAACAGCCATTCTCGTTCGATTCGACACATGAATAAGATCAATTAGAAGCACATTTTAAACACATGTATAATGATTAATTTAATAAGATACAACAACCCAGATAAACACTTCGCTTTGCGGGTTATACGATCTTAGCACTACAATGGTTGCAGGTATTTTTACGCTTAGCCGTGCTTTTGTGAGAGACATAATTAACTTGATTTATGGGCTTGATAGAAAAAAATATGTTTAGTAGAAAATAATAATTTGAGAGTGTTACTTGAAATTTTTTTTTTTTAAGGACACATATGAGAAAGATCATTTAAAAATATCCTTGTGAAGCTAGGTGAGGCTAGATATAATAAAGATAAAAATCACATGAAATAATTTTTTAGAAGGGACAAATTAGGGAAAAAAATAACTCGAAAAAATTAAAGAAAAATAAGTTAATTAGGTAAAATAAAAAGTATAGAATTTAATAGAAAAGGACCAAAAAACAATTAGAGAAAACAACAAAAGAAAAAATTATTTAGATTTAATTTAATGCAGATATTGTGATATTTTTAAGGGGGCATATACAAAAAATTTGAGAATCTATAAGGTAAAATTTTAAAAACTAAAAATTCTGGGGTGGGTGGGGCAGGCATGTGCCATTTGTCCCTCTCCTCCTTCCGCCGGTGATGTCTGAACATGTAACCATTAAAAATTCGTTTATAAATTTTCATTTTAATTGGAGTTTAATTAAACGTTTTAAAAGCATTCGTCCATGTGAAAAGGAAAAAAAGAAAAGAAAAGAAAGAGTAGCCATATTTTTGTTTTGTTTGTAATTTCTCTGGTATCCGGAAAAGACATGGCCAAAGAGTAATGATAAAATTAGAGTGCAAAGAAAAGTCATTTTTATATTTAAATTGTCAATCCCGATTATTTTTAAATGGGGTGCTTATTTTAACATAATGTTGTGATTAATAATTAATTAATTAATTAATTAATCAACAAAATATATAACCAATCATAATACGATGTTTTCTTTGACCTTTCAGTGGTCATGAAGGTCTTGGAATAAGAACGCCCATCGTGGATATCATGTATAACTTGAAGATGATACATTAGTCTTTATCAAAAAAATTGATACATTAGTCTTTATCAAAAAAATTGATATATTAGTCTTTATCAATCATTTTCATATTGAGAAAATTGTTAAACTTACTTTGTGAGTATGGATCTTTACTTTTTATTCTTAATTAATACCTTTTTATTAAATATAATTATTTAATTAGAAAATAATATTAATCAAGAGTAAAAGATTGCTTTTAAAGGCTTTCTTCCTTTTTCTTATTTTGACTCACTGGGCAAACAAAAAATTAAGTAATTTTAATTCTTGTGCAGGCAGGAATTCATGAGAATGATACGTTTCACTTTCAGGTCTACTACACATAATCACCTCCTTTTTTTAGCTAAATAAATTTAGAGAATTTTGTGATAAGTTTATACCTTAGTGATAGAAGACAATTAAATCGTCTTTATCAAATTCTATTTATATTGTTATATATATATATATATTTTTTTTATTCGATACATTTATGAGTTGATAATTCAAAATTATGCCCTATAAGTGAAGCTTTTTTTTTCTTTTGTTTTTGTTTTTGTTTTTTTGTTTTTCATACGACATCATAATTTGTGGCTACCTAATTATCTACATAGTAATGTAGTATATAAATTAATCACACCCACTGCGTGACTATGTGTTACCATTTTAAAATCATGTTGCAGATAATGAAGAACCGATTGGGCCCTTATTGCTCTTTCATTATAAATATAAACTAGCTGTAGAATTAATTATTCCTGAATAAGATATATTAGTTATACCCATCTTTATTTAATAAACAAATGAGACTGAAAAAAAGAAAAAGTATTCTTATGTGGCTAGCAGTGTCTAAGTTCTTTTGGATGATGTGTTATACAATTATAGAGATAAAAAATCAAAATTTTAATTTTCTTTTGTTTTTCTTTTCATTCTAGAGAGAAAGAATAACAATAATGGAGCCCCCCTAAACTTCTTATTTCTTTGCATAATACATCCAAAATTTGTAGTTTCCACAACTTACACCCTAAACTTTTAAATTAAAAACAATTAGGATCCAATAGCTAATGAACGTTATTAAATTATTGATTTGAGACATGAGATCTGTATGTAAAAGTTAAAATTCGTAATTTTTGAAATCATGTCACTTATAAATCATGTGTTTCAAGTCAACACTTTAATAACATTTGTCAATTATTGAACTTCAATAGTAATTTATTTAAAAATTTAAGATAAAATTTATTAAAATTAAAAATTATGATGTATTATAAATAAAAAGTAAAAAGTTTATGTTGTTTGGTATAATGGGAGGAAAAAATAGGTAATATGTTAAATGATTATTTTAATAAATATTTAATATTAATTTAGCTTTAAAAATATTAAAAATTGTAGTAATTAGTAGATTTTTGAAACTAACTTAAGTAAATACTATATTTTAAAACTATTTGAAGTAAATATGAGTTTACTGTATAAATGTTTTATTTATAACTGATAAAAAATATGTGGTAAAAAATCTTTATTTACATTTAAAAAAATCTTTTACGAGTCGTAAAAAAATTTATGTGGAAAAAAATCTTTTTAGTAGTTATAAATGAAACTTTTACGCGGTAAACTGCTATTTACTTCAAATAGCTTTATAATCTGTGATTTAATTCATTTAGTTATATAAATATGCTATTTACTACATTCTCTTTTAAAATATGAACAAAAAATTATTTTAATCATCAATGGGTGATTCCACCAAATATTAAAAAAATAAAAATTTTTATCTAGCCTATTTTCCTTTTCTTTCACTCTTCCTTCTTACTAAACAACTTATTAGAAAAAAAAAAAAAAAAAAAAAAAAAAAAAAAAAAAAAAAAAACGAGGCGTGGACTTAGAATGGTAATTTCGTAATAATGTACAAAACCGGGGGCAATATCAATTTAATCCAGATAAAGCCAAAAATCTCTCTGAAAAATGACCTCAAGGCTCAACCGTTCTAAACGTCGCCTTATATAAACCCCCTATACGAAAAACAGGAGAAAGTCCACGCCCACAATAACGAGAAGAAGAAGAAGAAAGACGAAGAAGAACAATGATTCAGATACCAGAATCAATGGTACGTACAGAAATTCACCTTCTTCTTCTTCGTCTTCTCTGAGATCTCTCTTCTTCAGCTTCTTCTCTCGGATTTCACTTCTCTTCGAAATCGCGCGCAATTCATGAGGTTCCTCGTGTTCGTCTCCTGCTGCGGCCCCACCGTCATGCCTGCGGTCAGGCCAGAATCGTCCCAGTCGTCGTCGGCAACTCCGCCGGCGGAGGAAACGCGGTCGCTCGTCCGGTCGCGGCGGTACCGGCGGCGGCCGAAGCGCGGGAGGCTCGGGGCATCTGGATCGGCGCCGGTGCCGGTGGAGTGGAAGCCGTCGCTGTGCTCGATCTCCGAGGACAACGTCGTGATGGTGGAGAGATCGGACGGTCAGGATCGTCAGGATCAGTATCGGACGGCGGGACCTGAGCGGCTCGTCAAGAGAAAGAGCGGCTCCGGAAGCTCGAGAATGAATGTCGTCGCAAGCTTCGGCGACGATTACGGGTAATCTATGGTTTTGGTCTCTTCCATTTCTGTTTTTAATTTTGATTGATTTTGGGATTAATTATTTGATTTTTTTTGTTAATTTTTGAATTAATTAATGTGATTTTTTGCGTAATTAATCTCAGGAGATCGTCGTTTCCGACTGTGATTCCGGCGTTCTCTCCCACTCCTTTCATGTTTTGAAGATCCTCTTCGATTTTCGAGCTTCTTTGGTTTTTTTGTCGTTTTCTCTGTTCATCTATTGGTTGAAAATTAGTCTTCTGATGAACTGGATATTTTTCTTTTTTATTGGTTTTACCTAGTATTGAGAATAATATGAATCTAATCTGTAAAGCCTGTTGTAATTACTCTTCAGCAATTTTACAGTTCATTGTTGTGATATTATGGCGCAAAAGTTCGTGTTTTTTTTTAAATTATTATTTTTTAATGGCTTTGTCCCCCCCTTTGGCAATGGATAAAGACAACAGAAAAAGATTATGTGGTATAATGGTATATAATTGTGCTTAATCAATTACATCCTTCAGTAGACATATCAAGAAAACTTTTATTTATTATGATTAAAGTTTGTTTTGGGACATAGTGTTAAAGCAATCTTATCTCATCTTTCCGTACTTGATATTTCTTATCTTAAGATTTCATAACGAAATTCTTGAAAGTTGTTGTTCCAAAAAAAGGGAAAAGAAAGAAAAGAAAAGAGGGTTAATTTTATACATACCCGAATAATGAATTTTAAAAGAGGTTTCATTTCACCATCTGAATTAAAAGAATTAGTTTCATAAGTGTCCTAGTAAACTATTGATTTTAACTTTTAATTCAGATTAGATAATGAAAGTTCAAGCAGTTTGGTCTGGGCCTAACAACCTTAATGGAAATTTCGAGCCATCCTAATCTGGCGGTAAGGGGGGAGGGTTGGTCTCTAAATTTAGACTGTTAACAAAAATATATCACAAAACCGAAACCAACATCTAAAAAACTAAAAAAAGTGGCTCCACGTGGAACTGAAAAACTTTCGATTTGGTTAATCGACCGAACTGCCTCTTTGGTTGTTTGGTTTCGGTTTCATGTTTTAAGGTTCGGTTAAAAATTGAACCAAACTGACATCTATAACTTTTTTTTAATATGCCTATGTAACATCGCCGTATTAGGCGTTTAGGTGGCTTTTCTTTCGTCTCTCAGTCTCTACTTTCTTGACACTCACTCACTCAACACATCTGCCTCCATTCGAAAGAAACCCTAGGGGCTAGGGCTGGCCACTTTTGTCTCCTTCCGCTTGCCATTTTCCACCGAGTCACCCTCGACTGTGTCGCCACTTCTGTTGGGTCGCCGTCTCCTCTCCGCATCGCTGACGCCGAGTTGCCATCTCCGCCGATTAAAGGTTGGTTGCCACCTTTGTTTATTTTTTTGTTTTGTTTTTGAGATTAGTTTAGCTTGCTGTATTCGTTTCTATTTGTCTCTTACTATGTAATTTCAATTGTGTTGGTAATTTTGAATTTCAAATCTGATTTAAGTGAAATGAAGAGTTGTTGTTCTTTTTTTATTATTATTATTTTGGATTACGTGAAGAAATGGGTTGTTTTATTGCATTAGTTTGTGTTATTTGTTGAAAGGTTGAAAATTATGGATTGTTTTAAGAAGGAAAGTTTTACATTTTTTTGAGATTTCTAATAAAAAAAAAAATGCATCTAAAGCCGTTGGTCACCTGCTGGTTAACTGATGGTTATCTGCCTGATTACCAAAACTGAAACCGCCACAAATCAACGGAAGCAAATCGAAAACCGAAGGTCGGAACAAGAGTTGTCACGATAGGAAAGAGAAATCCCCAACCGTCAATAAATGACGAACCCCATTATACAGATGATAGGCCAGGGGATGGTTTACTATTTCAATTTGGATTTTGTTTTCTTTTCTCGCGGAATTCTCATTTTTATTGATCAACAATTGAATTATGGAATTTTGTAATAAATACATCTAGAAAGAAGATATTCTCTAGCCTAGAGGAAAGAGAACAACTAGGATGAAAGGTATTACTAATCTTGATATAGTGACACAGGATGATAGAATGTCACCAACACCCTCTTACTATGGTTTGATTTTAGTTCTCAATATTCAAAATCCGACAGTGTGTCAGTTTTTAATCGACAAAGTTCTAGTACAACCCAACTCTAAAGCCTGACAGGCCTAGGCCGAGCCAACTTGGAATTTATAAAGTATTTTCAAAAATGTTTTTTAAAAAAACAAAGGTGTTTGGGCTTGTCCGGCTCGGTCAGAATAAGCTTTTAAGGTCAAAACCTTACCCTCGCTTGGTGGTCTGGCCCAGGCGAATAATTATGGGTCATGGGCCAGTCTGTTTGGCATGGCCCAAATTTGTAACTCTATCAAGATAAATTTTGAGTTGAAAAAAAGAGGAAAAAAATTAAAGCTTATAAATTCTACTTTGATATAATTTCAAGCCTTCTTTTTTTTTTTTTTTTTGACAACTTCCAACGACAATCATACTTGGAAACAATCCAAATCCAACGCCAAAGGAGCAAATAAAATAAAAAGGAAGATTGCCAAAGGAGAGAGAGGGTACTTATTAGGGCATACATATTCCGATAAGAGTAGAAGAGCAATATTATCGACCAGAATGATAATAACTATGATGTTGATTATCAAATAGAGGATCGGTGACAAAGACGGGTGACGGTGAAGGACTTCGAGAGAGTGTAGGCGAGTCAAAATTTCTTACTCATAGAACGTATGTTATGTGTTAGGGTTAACAAGACTAAAATGGTAGAAATTTCTTACTCGTTGAACGTTTGTTATATCTTACAGTTAAGAATTGATTTTTGAAAAATTTAGATGGACCTCGTACTTAAAATTTCTAACTTTTTTTTTCCTAATTTTTTTTTTTTTTTTTTTCATTTTGGATTCTTTTACCCTGAAACTATTAATGTTTTCATTTCGATCATTTTTACTCTCTCTCTCTCTCTCACTCTTTATACTTTTCACGGCAACTTCATTTTTTTTTTCGTTTTGGTCCTTTTTACCCTAAACTGTATTTATTTCTTCATTTCTTACCTAAAACTTTTTTTCACTTTTTTTTTGAAATTATATATTCATTTTTATATGTTTTTCCTAATTTAATAATGAGACAATAATTTAATAATTATATATAAAATTATATATATTTTAGTTCTTTTACAACATAAGAAGACCAGTGTTTTAATGGGCCAATTAAGAGGACGTTTGGTTTATGTATTCAGAATCATGATTCAGAACTATTCTCGTTTTACGTGCATTTTTTGTGAGAAAAAACACTGTAGAGAACCATGAATCATGATTCAGAATCAGGGACGAATATAGGAAACAAATGTCCCCTAAGTTGTTGGCGAACCGCTTGATTAGATACTCAAGATATTTAGGGAATATGACATGATATTTAGGTGTAGATTGACATTTGCCAGAGTTGGATAAACATTCAATTTTTTTGCCATGTGACAGAACAAATATGAGGCTTAAAGGACTAAACTACCCTCAATCTAGTGTTAGGTTCTTTTTCCCCTCTCTCCTCCTCTATCTCCTTCTACCTTCTACAGCCGCGACTTTTCTCTCTCCTTCTACCTTCTCTTCTCTCTCCCTCTCTCTGTTCTCTAGTCGACACCTAGTCTTGCCCCCGACACCTCTCCCCCTTGCTACTCAGAAGACCACATCATTGAGTGAATCGTCGTCGATGAGCCAGATCACCCTCTTTTCTCTCCCTACTCAGATGACCCTCGCTTTTGGAATTTTTATGAATTTGTTTGTGAATTTTTGTGTTTCAATGATGAGAATAATTGTAGTGCCACCAGTATTGACAGATACGGGCCGGTATTGTGGTGGTAACCGATCGGTATTATGTTTTTTCTTAGTTTGTGGATTATGGATTTGTTTCGTGATTTTTTTTAGATTTTTTTCGTGATTTTTGGTGATGTTGGCGCCGCCGGTAGTGATGGTTTTCGACATATACCTACCGGTATACTAGACGGATACCAATATCATGGTGGATACTGGCGGTTGTTAGCCGGATACTAACGGGTACCTTAGCCAGATATTGGTATAGTGGTGGAATACCGGCCAGTATCTCAGTTAGATATTTTGGCAACTATTGCCGTCAATACTGGCGATTGTCCGTCAAATACTATCGGGTATCTTGATTGGATACAGCTCTTATGGCTAGATATCCGCAAGTATATCAATCAGATTCAGCTTTTATGGCTAGATACCTGGGGGTATATTGGTCTGATACTAGTATTGTGGCCATATACTGACTGATAACCTAAGGATATATCTGATATTTTAAATATAATATGATGACTTGATTGTGGTATTCTCTGCAATAGTTTATGTCCCTTGATGTATGACAGTTCCTTTAAAGCCCTCAACCCACTTAATACACGACGTAGACCCAATTTTAGCATCACAATCCCAGAAAAAAACGAAGAAAAGAATTGAGAAAAATAATTAAAAAAAAACAGGCGAAATATTAAATATAGTTGAGCTATCAAGGTTAGGTCCAACAGTATTGTCAAAATTTCATAAATTTCTTTGACATAACCAATAAAGAGTCGCCATGGTATTGCTCCTGTGGATTTATTACTTCACCATAGGATGCTATCTCATTATATACATCATACGTGTTGCTGCATGGTGTTTTCATGTATACATGTTGCATTTCACGCGTTTTGTCTCTTTTTCTTTAAAAAAAAAAATCGATATTTTTCTCACCAAAATACAAAATGGGACATCCTCCTTTTTTTAGGAAAATAATAGAAAATATGCCAATATGAAAAGCTTAAGAAAGTATATAGATTAATTTTTAGTTATAGAAATTAATAGGCCATAACTTGTCAAGTTATGGTTCAAAACCAGTAAGTTATGGACAAGTTTGTCAAGTTATGGTTCATAGCCAGACAAATTATGGAGAAAACCCGTGAATTATGGACAATAACTTGTCAAGTTATGGTTCATAACCAGACAAGTTATGGACGAAAATAGTAATTTGACCTATTTATTAACTTATGTAAACTATTGGCCTATTAATTTTAATTCATTTCAAGTTTTGGCCTATTTCTTTCTTTCTCTCTTTTTTCTATACCATGTAGGGTCAATAAATCCTATTTTATTAATAAAAAATGAAACCACCAAAATTCGGACATGGCGACACATATTCATATATCCGACACACACTCATATATCCAGCCACTTGAGTTAGCTTCAAGTGACAAATAGACACCCTCCTTAATTATGAATAAATACCTACTTAAATCTTGATATGTAGTAGTGTTAAATTTAACCCACTCAAACTCTTAATTTGATTGTAGTTTCCTATTTAATTTTAGAGAAAAAGAGGCAAATAGCATAAT